TAGCGGTTAATGAGGCGTGTCTGGGCATTGGCGCAGCGCGTTGACAATGCTTGAAAAAATTCTAAGAGATTCTGTGTAGAAAATTCTGCTTACTCTGAAATTTTATAATTAGTTATGATATAAATTAAATGATTAAATAATCGGCTGCATGCAAAAAAAAATAAATAAATAAATAAATAAAATAAAAAATATAAAAAAAAAATAATAAAATGATTAAATGATAAGCTGTATGAGAAAAAATTAAATAAAAAAATTAATAATAATAATCAAATATAAATATATAATATCTATTAATATTATTATTATAAATAAAATATGCAATAATTCATGTGTAGAAAATTCAGCTTACTCTGAAGTTTTATGATTAGCTATGCTATAAATTAAATGATTAAATAATCGGCTGTATGCAAAAAAACAATAAAAATAAATAATATCTATTAATATTATTATTATAAATAAAATATGCAATATTAATCATGTTTTATTATTATAATTATTTAATATTTAATTTATTTATTTATTATTATTATTAAGCGTTCAGTATTGGTTTTCCTTGACCGTCTCCTGCTATACTTATTTCTCTTTAAATTGCACTAGAGGACGCTGAGCACGATTTCTCTTTCTGGTGCATAGAAGAATTCACTGACCTGGAAGTAACTATTAATTAGGTCAAAGTAAACGGAAAAAATGTGAGGAAAATTTGCAATTACCAGAAGATTTAAAATAGCTCTTGGTTTCGACGAAAAGGTTTAGCTATGCAAAAAAGTGGAGGTTGGCAGAAGGAGTATTGAACAGAAAGCCCGAAGGTCAATGCGAAATAGAACCCACTCCCAAGGTGGGAGGTAACCCCAGACAGACTAAGTGAGACAGTGAGAGAGAAAGAGAGAGAGAGAGAGAGACAGAGTGAGGAAGAGAAAGTGAGAGAGAGAAAAAAGAGAGGGAAATATTATTATTAAATTTCTACCTTAAGTTAAACAAAGTTTTTAGTTTTATTTATATAGATTAGTATTTATATAGATCTATTTTATTTTTTATTATATATATCATATTTTCAATTTTTTTTTTTTTTTATTTAGAGCTTAGAGTCTTGGAAAATCATATATGTATATGCCATTTAATAGAAGGAATCGAGTGCCTCAAGCATTGACGTTTTCTATGCAGCTCGCATCAGCGAATATCTTTTAAATAATTTACTTGTTTTTGCATTGTATCATTTGGCGTGTGCGAATTTGCTAATTCCTTTCAGAAAACTAGTGCGCTTTTCTTTGCCTCATGCATGCACACACATACGTACATACATACATAGACGCATACATCTATCTGGCTGCTAAGTATAATGCGGCTGCTTATCTGCTGGCTAAATATGCAGCTGCTCAAACTAAAAACCTCGAGAACAACAAACAACAACAATTCCCATAAAGAGACACAAACCATTTGGCATTTTCATCAAGAAGATAGAAACACACACACACACACACACACACACACATGCGACTCATTTGACTGTCGCCAGCTGTAATGGGAATGCATGAAATGCTTCTGCCGGAAAATTTTAGCTGCTCAGTTGTAAACACACAGAAAACATCAAAGATCCAGCGAGAGCTGCAGCTACAGCTGAAGTTGGCAAAAACGTTTTTGTTTTTTAGCCAAGTTCTAACGGAAATGATAATGATGATGAAAAGCTGACGCACAATTTGTAAGCAAACAATAAAACATTTCAGCTAAATTAGTTTTTGGCAATTGCATTAACTAATGCAGCTCTCTCTCTCTTATTTTTTTTACGAGTATTTCCTATAGAGCTGCGTGCATAAATAAGAAATTTAAATTGATATTAAAATGACATTTAATTAAGATTAAAAATTTATGCAACCAAAAAGTGCTCAACAATTGGTAAAATACAACAACAACAACAGAAAGTATTCAATATAAAGCCAAAAGTGTTTTAAATGCATTTTTGGTTGCGAATATTTTTTGTAAATATTTTCGCCACGCCCCCAACTGCTGCGCCCTCGCCTGGCCGGGTCTGGGTACGGGGCCGGGGCTTAAAGCTTACCGAAGCCCGGCTCGGCTAAAACGAGCAACATTGTATTGCCAAATCGGGGCCAGGATGTGGGCGCGGGCCAGAGCCAACGGCCGACGGCCGACGAATGAGACGACGAGCAGCACCGCCCGCCCCGCCGGCCCTGCCCCTTCAACCTATATACCAGAACCATGTAGGCGACATGGCAGCCCGTCGTTGGTTGGCTGCCCGTCTAAATGGAGCCTATGTAAACGACGCACGCATCCGTCGTGCGCTGCTTGTGCGTGTGTGTGTGCGTGTGTCTTTGTGTATGTAGGTGACATGTACCACAACAACAAGAGTCATGGCAATGGCCAAAGGTAGCGGAGTAAAAGCCAAATCTGTAGGGAGCCCACTGCAGGGGAAGTTTACGTCAAACATGTTGCAAGAGGAGGAGTTTGGCACTGGCCCAAGCTGCCAACCCGGTTTGAGCTCAATGCAATTCAAATTTGCTGTCAGGAATTTAGTTTATTAGGTTAAATGATAAATATTCATAAATTATATATTCATATAAAATATTATTTGAATATAAATTTAACTATGTTTTTATAGCATTTAACAGTCTTTAATGCTTTAAATAAAATCAATATTAAAAGTTTAAGCTTTTTAAGCAGAATGAAACAGTTATTATAATGCATGGGAAAATGCAAAGAGTTACAGATAAACATACATTATTTTTAATATATGCATATATATTTTTAATTTTTATTTGAAAGACATATTTAACTACAACAAAAATATTTAATCATGCATAGCATAAAGATGACCTAAAAATATTAAACTAACCTGTAGAAACTTTCTCTTTATCTTCACAAAATGTTCAAGATATAAAACACACTTAAAAACTTTAAAATATTTATATTTTGAGATTAAATTTTGATTTTATATGATATAGCTTCTATGTTATAAGGATACATATTTTTATTTTATTTTATTTTATTT